GCACTCACCTGTATTCTTCGTAAAAGTCTCAACACTTTCAAGCGCGTTTGTTTTGCGTAAAATGCGTATAACACAAGCGAATATAAACAATTATTAAATATACTACTTTAGTTATTAAATTTTTTTAATACTTTATTCATATTTTACAAATATTTACAGTGTTTCAATATTAAACAACGCTAATAATATGTTTACTTACAAATACATACACAACGTATTATTTGAAGCGTTAAAAACGGACACATACACATTATTTCTTGCAATTGCTACAACTATGTATGTATGTATGTATAGGCAGGCTTTCTGACATATGTATACGATTTGATAAAATTATAATAAATTCAAAMAAAGAGTCTCTATAACTATTTACACTTTATAAAAAAATGCAAAATCAAAGTGTCTTACCAGCTAAACTCGCTAAAAACGCAAAACAAGCTCTATTCACCTCATTATATTTTTAACTTAGCGATGCTAACAGCTCAAGCAGTAGTGCAATAATTTATGTTTAAGCCTATCCCCAAGTTGGCACTGCCACGTATCTTTTCTAATGTTCTTTGCAAATTTTTCTTTGCATTTTTTTGCGTTTTCGTTGGCAGCGCTTGCAATTTACTAAGCGTCGCTTCAGTTACTTTACTTTTGTGAAACTATTGCAATTGCTAACCAACTATAAGTAATTTACAAATCTTAGATATTATATTTAGATGTGATTTTGCCTAAAATTACGCAAGCGCCGTTAACATGTGCCTGATTTTCATTTTATTTTAATTGTGTGTTTTTTTTTCAGTGTTCTATTTTCTAGTAATTAAATTTAATAAATTTTAAAAAATTCTTGCAATTTTTCGTTCTTAAATACTTTTTTGTTCTTGWTGCTGTTTTTATTTTTTGTCTCTTATTTTATGGTGTTCTGTTCGTGTATGTTTTTGTTGTTGCTTTTGTTTTTAATTCTTTTGTAGGTGGTTTGATGCTTTCGTTGAGCTGAATTCACACTGTCACTTAGCATACTTTTAGGCAGGCAGGCATGTTTGCATGCATATGTATATGCTTGTGTATATAAATGCTGTTGTATATGTGTCTAGTTTCGTACGCACTTCTTTACTTTCTATTTATGTGCTTGTTATCGCTATATTTATATTGTTGTTATTGTTATTTCTTTCWCGATTTTTTTTTACATTTTCGCTTCTTTTAAAACCTTCTGTTGTTGCTTTTTTGTTTCGCTTATTTATTTGTTGCTTATATTTCGTATATTTATTGCTGGCAGGATCTCTTTGTTAGTAACTTTACTGTTGTCGTCCACCTTCGACTCAAACTGTCTCGCGTCTGTTGCGGTATGTGTGGGTGTGTCTGTGTGTGTACATGCTGCTGCATGTGTAACACACTGTAATACATTTGCTGTATTTTTTAAGCTTGTGAAATTCTTTACGGTAGGCCTTTGATGTTTCACTTTCTTTAACCGTTCATTTATTTATACTATTTTCTTCTTTTTGTTGCTGTACAATTTCCGTGTGTTTTTCTATTTCATTTTTATGTTGATTTATATATTTTTTAAYTGTAGAACATTTTAGTTACAAGAATTTTTAGCAAATTAAAATTGTTAAAATACGAAAATATTGTCTTTCAAAAGTTTAAAAAGTTCAGTCTTTAGTGGTTTGTCGCACTACCTGCAAATAAAGTGAAGAAAAAATAAAGATGTTTAGTTTTTAATGAAAATGTTTGTTTTATTATTGTCCCTATAATTTTTTTTTTGCATTAGCTTGAGATTAGATTGAGCAATTATGTAAGGCAAACTGGTATCGAAACTCATTGCGGAGGAGAGAGACAAAAAGGSCAGTAGTACAAGAGGCAACCTTAAGTGTTGTTGAGGTAATCTTCAACAAGTGTTACGGTACTTTGTTATACTGGACCGTAAATTCGCATACAAAATGCCGTTGGAACGAACGGAAACAGTGGTCTCTGCATTGCGAGGTCACTAAGAACCAGCCCAACGGCTGCACTCGTAAGGCTATTCTACATACCAGCAATCGACATTGCAGTGGGAAAAGCTCTACAGAAAAACCAAGTACAAGATTGGCGGCGTTAGATAAATTCTCTACAAGGTTATTCACGTCAATAAGCTGGGGGTTGACGAATAGAGCAGATCACGTGAGGTTACACGCTACTTTTTAGGGATGGTTTCAAGTCACACYACAAGAGATAGTTGGTTGGCAATCATGATCTACTCAGGCGGATCAAACATGGCTAATGGAGTGAGCGCCGAGGTAAATTGCTCGGAACTGGATCTTAGGCGATCTTTCAAGTTRCCTGAATACTGMAGTATCTTCCAGATGAAAGGCTAATGAGGTCAGGTAACAAGACGAAAGGGATTAATATGTATGTCGAGTATCAGCTGGCAATCAAGACAATAATCTCACAGCATATTACGTCAGAGATTGTTYTTAGAAGCACGGAGGCAGTAAATTTAGCTGCAGCATACACCTATACTGGGTTGCAGGCCACAAAGGAAAATGAAAACACGATACAATTTCCGAAAGCACTGGTATGCGAATATGAGGGTCATGTAGGATAATTATAGTAAAAGATGGTTGATTTCCAACGACTACTTGTAACTTCACAGCATCACATTCGAACCGTATGAATATTAGTAACGGTGATAAAAGCAGATTAGGCGGAAATTTGTCATGAAGGAGGTGCTGTGATACATTCTATGATTCTGTTCAGCCTTATCTAGAACTCGTTCTATACATCTGGGAACTTCGTGGGTCAAGGGTCTACATCAGGTGTCAATATTGGATAAAGTCGCGACAGCCGGTATAATTATATGTAAGTATAAGTATAAGTATAAGTATAAGTATAAGTATAAGTATAAGTATAAGTATAAGTATAAGTATAAGTATAAGTATAAGTAAAAGAATTAAATTTATGTCACCGAAATAATCGATATTTTTCTAGCCTCAAATATATATTCCCAAAAATAGGTTTCGGCCATTTCAACTAACCTAGGTAGTATTTGAATAAGAATTATTTTTTTCTCTATAATTTTCTCTCTTCTTCGCTTTGAAAATAATACACATACAGGTATGTAAAAAAACACATATACTGAATTCATAAATGAAACTTACCTGGYGGTCAGACCACAGGTTCATTACTATAGACATCATTCGTATGCTTTGCGCTCGCCTTCTCTTTCATATTGCATTGCTAGAAAGGGACATAAAAAAATTTAAAATCAAAAAAAAAATCAAAAATATTCAAATAAATCAAGAATTTACAATTAAATTTTCCGCTTGTTAACTGAGCGCCAACCACCGAAATGCTAAATAACTTAAACGCGCGTATAAACAAGTCGAAATTAATAATGAAAACACATAAATTCTAAAATGCTATGAATTTTATGCGCACTGACACACRCCGGCAGCGCCAATCGTTAATCATGTTTTTTTTATGGACGCTGTGGAGTCTACATTATGTAAGGTGACGTCGCGAAAACAAGAAATTTCGATTCAATTTTAGGAATTAGTAGAACGCGTTGGCAACACCTGTCAATGTTCACGCCCAAGAAAACAATTAAACAAACAGACATCTATGCGTACTTTCAAAACATTACCTACGTTAAGGCGTTTGAGGTCATAAAGCGTATAATTACGATTATGTACGGGCGAAAACGCTTGGCCTGCCTACTTGAAATGTGTTCGGATGTTGGCTGCCGGTACTAGCCGCTGTTCGTTCGATCCTGAGTAACATAAAAAATTAATTAAAACAATTAGCAACGTTAAATTTCACGCCATTAAATTTCAAGCGCGTAAATCTTGTGTTCTACAAACGCATAACGGTTTTCGATTGGTTGGTGGTGTGGTACGGTGGTGGTTTGTCTTCATCTAAATATGGGAGCAGAGAATATCTGGTATACTATTTCGAATTATTTCAATGATGAAAATTTTTTGGAGTCAGGTCCGGTTCTTGTAGTTTCATTTTAGTTACTAATATTGCTGTGGGACGGGCTAAAAGGTGAAGTGGGCTAGTGATTGCAAGAACCGTGTTGTTCATGCGATTTGATTCGGAGTAATGATACATAAAGAACAGAATTTTTTTTTTTTTTTTTTGATGAAGTACTCTTGTTCGAGTCTTGTTTTTCGATCTGCTTCTTAAGTAGAACATGACACCAATGGATATTTTTTCGATTACTCAATAGAAAAACTTTTTCGAAATTATGTTTCGAATTATTGATAACCTTT